CTCTCTCAGCCTCAGGAACACAAGGGCAGACCCCCTCTGAACAAATCTTGACAGTAAGATGCTATGATAATTGTAGAGCACACAACATAGCATTAAAGACAACAACAACCCTCAGAATTTGGAACTAGTCGGAACTAACAGGGAGAAAACAATAAAGCAAAAGCTATTAAGATTTAAAAGGTGTGATGCATTTAATTTCCTGTTGTGTGAATTACTGTTACAAGAACTCAATAATACTTCCATCTCTCTCTGTAATCCTATTAGCAGACTTCCGTTGCCTATTTTCTGATGTAACTGCACTTTTTTCTGCTTGCTAACTAGGTCAGATTTCCCACTGTGAACAATTTTCAAGTTTAATTTTTATTAATTACAGAACATTATGTGCCTTCTATAAAAACCTGTGTACTGTTAGTTATTAAGGTTCTGTTATTAAGGTGTAGAAAGGATTAAGGTTGCTTATATGACACAAAAATAGGACAAGTGTGTTTTAGCGGCAATCCTGATTTAAAAGATGTTTATATATAATTGTTGTCACTACTTTTGTTTTTACTTGTGGCACTAGATAAGGAAATTACATACAGAAGCAGAATGTATGTATCAAATATCTGTCACAACAAGAACCAGAACAGAGAATATGTGGGAATTGTACGCTTGGAAATCCTGGTATTTTAAGTTCAAAAGTAGTTATTGGGTGGATTAAAGCAGTGGATGATAGGGCATAAAGGAGGTATTGATACATTTGGTCATTTTGTTTTTGTTTTGCCTGCATATTCCTTATTTTGCATCCAAGATCTCTCTTGAAATATCACTATCTTCCACTAATATTTCAAGATCTCTCTTGAAATATCACTGTCATACTCCCACTAATCCTGTGCCGTTACGCCCAGACGCTTTAAAATAAAACTTTGACATGCTGCTATCTATGTCTGGGCAAAACTGCTGGGGTCTTTCTTTAGGCAGATTGAGCTTTCTGGAATAACTGAGTCCACTTCAATTTTAAACAATAAACAGGGTATTTATTTACAAAGTCCTGGTAGACTTGGCTCAGCTTATCAATATTACAACAATCAATGAATAATAAATTCCATCTAAATTAATAAACTCTATCTATATTCAGTTAAACTCAATTACTCTATCTATCTATCTATATTTATATCTATCTATCTATCTATCTATCTATCTATAATCTATAGGTCTCAGTTAAACTAAATTACTCTATCTATCTATCTATCTATCTATCTATCTATCTATAAGTTTCAATTAAACTAAATTAAACTAAATTACTTTCTATCTATAACTAAATTGTTTTTGCAATGATATTTTCTGAGGTACCTGCCTGCCAACAGCACATCATGGATTCTTCCTAAAACTGAAGGGGCAGGGAGACCTCCAAAATGGCTGCTTCTATCCTGGAAACAGGGGCGGGCCCAAAGAGCTACTCTTTGGCCAATTATTGCAGAGGGCCTGAAAACTGGCTTTCCTGCCTCTGGCTGCTAACCTTTTAGGCCTTTGCAGAGGCTGCAGAGGCCTAGGAGAAAGGCAAAGGGCAACCAATTTAAGCAACCCAAAAAGACAATAAACCCAGTCTCCTGGGAGACGGAACAAATCCCATGTCACATCTAGATTCAGTCATCATTTCAGAAATTGATTTTTGCCCATTTCCACAGAGTCCTTTGGTATTAACCTGCTGGCTAACCTTTAAAAACATGTTAGCCAGCAAGTGAGTGAAGCTAATCCTTCAACTGGGCAAGAAAGATAATCAATTCCAATATCTACTGGCAATTCAGCATGTTTCACTGAAGAACCCAGAAATAGTTTATTTCAAAATACAATTAAGCAGTCTGTAGTGCCCTAAATGTGCCAGGGCCCCGGGAAGAACTCATGAAAGTGACTTTTTGGAGAAGCAAAGTCTGGGTTTCTTGGACAGCTCCACCTTGCCTCTTGCCTTTTCCACTGTCCACATGAAAGCAAAGAGAGAAAGGCATTCCTCAGGGAGGTGGAAAGTTCCCAATGGAGGAAGATTCCAATTAGCCAAGCAATTTTATACACACCAGATATTACCTGTGCAGCTAAGGCCCCATATACACCGCCATACAATCTAGAGAATTTTGTACAAAAAAGACAATTTTCCTGAAAATTGGCTCAGTAATAGTGAAAAATTGCCAGTTTCATATCTCTTAATGGGAGGTTTTGGCTGGATTGACACTGCCTTATATCCCAGGATCTGATCCCAGATTATATGGCAGTCTAGACTCATATAATCCAGTTCAAAGGAGATAATCTAGAATCAGATCCTGAGATATAGAGCAGTATAAATCCAGCCTTAATACCAAGTATACAAGCATGGGATTGTGTTTTATAGCCTAGCAGACCTAATATGGAGTACGCCAGTAAATTAGGACCCAATCCTGGACCTTCAGAGGAGGTCTGCTTTGGTTTGGGGAACTGAAGAGCACTTATCTTGGCACCAGCAGAAAGGATTTACAACCTTCAATGACACATAGAGATCTGAATGCTTTTTCAAGCATCCTTATATAGAGTGTATGCATTCAGACCATGATACAAGCACAGTATTTGTATTTGATGTCATTTCTGATTTAGGGAAACCCTAAAACAAGCCAGTGTGAGTTAATGGTGCCCCCTCGGCTATGGAACACCCTCCCTATAGATATTAGATCGGCCCCCTCCCTTTTAACATTCTGGAAAAAAAGTCAAGACATGGCTTTTTGAGCAAGTGTTTGCAAATGCAGAGTAATTGACTTAGGACAACGGAACGAGTAGACAACGAGATCGGACAACGTTTTAAACAAGAAGACACTATGGATTTATATTTTATTGATTCTGTTTAGTTTTCATTGTATGTAATGTTTTAATTGTATTTATGATATTATATACATTGAATTTTACCCTGTAAACCATCTTGAGTCACCTGAGGACTGAGAAAGGTGGTATACAAATACAGTAAATAACTAAATAACTAAATAAATAATTATTTTAGGGCCTATGGGAGTCCAGGATTTGAAACCCCACTTGACCATCTACACTGCCATATAATCCAGTTTCTGAACCCAGATTATCTGATTTGAACTGGATTATATGGCAGTGTAGACTCACATAATCCAATTCAAAGCAGATAATCTGGATTCAGAAACTGGATTATATGGCAGTGTAGATCTAGCCAGAGTTGCCTTGGGCATGTCATACTCTCAGTCTCGGAGGAAGGAAAATGTCAAAACCACCTGTGAACAATCCCCAGTAATAGTCTTGTCTTATGCTCACCATTATATTAATATAATGCCCAGTTTTTAAACTTTTTGTTTTTAAAATATATTACAACTATACCTTTGATTTGCTTCTGATAGGATAAATAAATAAATAAATATGCTCACTATAAATTGGAAATGACATGAAGGCACACAATAACAAAGGAGATCGTTTTCCAAAGTTTTCTTGGCAGAATTTGTTCAGAGGGTGTTTGCCTGTTCTTTCCTTGGAGGCTGAGATAAGTGTGACTTGCCCAGTCGGATTTCATGTCCAAGTATGGGTCTTCAAATGCCCTGGGCTGCATCTACACTGCAGAATGAATGCATCTTGACACCATGGCTCAATGCTATGGAATCATGACTGCTGTAGTTTTGCAAGGCCTTTATTAGCCTTTTTCTCCCAAAGAGAACCAGTGCCAGGGCAAGCTCCAACTCTCGTGATTTCATAGCATTGGCAATTAAAGTGTATGCAGCTTTGGACAAGATTGCATAGGGATCACCAAATGCAGCAGTTTGATTAGCATTGAATGTCCTTGCAGCTTTAAAGTCTGGCTGCTTCCTGCCTGAGGGAATCTTTTGTTGGGAGGTGTTCGCTGGCCCTGATTATTTCTTGTCTGGAATTCCTGTTTTCTGAGTGTTGTTCTTTACTGTCCTCATGTTAGGGTTTTTTAATACTGGTAGCCAGATATTGTTCATTTTCATGGTTTCCTCCTTTCTGTTGAAATTGTCCACATGCTTGTGGAGTTCAATGGCTTCTCTGTGTAGTCTGATATGGTAGTTGTTAGAGTGTCCAAACACAGATCAAGGAACATGAAAGGCACTGCAGACTAATTCAGCCAGAGAAGTCAGCCGCACCTGATGAACCAAACTGGACACAGCATATTATTTGAGAACACAGAAATGCTGGACCACTCCCACAACCACCATGTCAGACTACACAGAGAAGCCATTGAAATCCACAAACATGTGGACAATTTCAACAGAAAGGAAGAAACCATGAAAATGAACAAATTCTGGCTACCAGTATTAAAAAAATCAGGACAGTACATAGAGAACAAAACTCAAACACAGGGGAACGCCAAAGAAACAATCAGGAACACCTAATCACCTCTCAACAAAGGATTCCCCCAGGCAGGGACAAGGCACACCTAAAAACTGTCAGGCCATCAAATGCTAATCAAGGTGGCCAATTGAAACCTTCACACCTAGCTCCAACAGACGTGCTCTTTTTCCCAGATATATAAACCCAATTTTCCCAGTTTCCAACACACCTCATAACCTCTGAGGATGCCTGCCATGGATGCAGGCGAAACGTCAGGAGAGAATGCTTCTAGCCCGAAAAGCCTACAACAACTCAGGTTCAGCAGCGTATATGCATCAGGTTCAAAGACAGATGGATGGACTATGCTTTTGAGCAGATTCCTTAAAAAGATTTTGAGCAGATTCCTTAAAAAGCAAGAGGAAGTGGAAGGAGAGGAGCGAACAGTGTGCGCCAGGCGTTGCAATCGCAGGGCCTCTTTTAGGCAGTAAGTGAAAACATCCAAATCGTGTCTTTCACCACTTTTTCCAGAGCAATGATAGGCGGAAGGAGTAGCCAATGAGAGACAACTGACTGCCATCCCTCCAAAGGTACTTTTGCGCAGGCTGGCGGTAGGGGTGGTGGGGAAAATAGGAAGCGCGAGCTCTGGGCGCATCCCGATTGGCCGGGCCTGGGAGGAGGGACGGGGCCAAGGCTGTTGCCGCACGTGCCGGCGCATGAGCTGTGTCAGAGGTGGCCGTGAGCGGCTCTGAGTGAGCGAGCGCCTGCTTCTTTCATGGAGGAGGGGACCTAGGCGCTTAGAAAGTTCACTCTCCGGCCGGTGTGTCAGTCAGTCAGCCAGTCAGTCCTCTCTCAAAGGTAGGAGGGAAGGTGGGTCTTTGGAAGCGGGGCACGCCAGTGGAATTTTCCAGCCTCCTCTCTCTCCCCTCCCCTTCTCCGTCTTCCTCCTTTTTCTTCCTCGCCCCGCCTTCTTCGCTCAGCCCAGCCAATAAGAGAAGGGGGTGTGTGGCGCGAGGCTCACCAGCTGGAGATGCTGCTGGAAGACTACTTTATTTAGTAGCTGAACCCGCCACGCGTTGCTGTGGCCAACCTTCCTTTTTTCTCTCCTTCTTTCCCTCCGTCCTTCGCTCCCTCTTTCTCTCCTTCCCTTTTTTCTTTCCTCCTCTCCTTCCTTCTCTACCTCTTTCCTTCCTTCCCCCTTTTCTTTATCTTCTTCTTTCCCTCTTCTTTATCTACCACTTTCCTTTCTTCCTTCGCTTTTTGCTTCCATCCTTCCTTCTCTCTTTCCTTCCCTCCCTCTTCTTTCCCTCCTTCCTTCGCTCCCTCTTTCCTTCCTTCCCTTTTTCCTTTCTCCTCTCCTTCCTTCACTCACTCTTTCCTTCCTTCCCTTTTTCTTTATCTCTTTTTTTCTTCTTCCCTACCTCTTTCCTTCCTTCCTTTCTTCCTTCGCTTTTTGCTTCCGTCCTTCCTCCCTCTTTCTCTCCTTCTTTCTCTCCTTCTTTCCCTCCTTCCTTCACTCCCTCTTTCTCTCCTTCCCTTTTTTCTTTCCTCCTCTCCTTCCTTCTCTACCTCTTCCTTCCCTTTTTCCTTTCTCCTCTCCTTCCTTCACTCACTCCCCCTTTTCTTTATCTTCTTCTTTCTCTACCTCTTCCTTCTTCTTTCTTTGCTTCCATCCTTCCTTCTCTCTTTCCTTTCCCCCTCTTCTTTCCCTCCTTCCTTCGCTCCCTCTTTCCTTCCTTCCCTTTTATTCTTTCCTTCCTTCTCTACATGTCCTTCCTTCCCTCCTTTTTCTTTATCTCTTTTTTCTCTCATTTCTTCCTTCCCTACTTCCTTCCTTCCTTCGCTTTTTGCTTCCATCCTCTCTTTCCTTCCCTCCCTCTTTCTCTCCTCTTTCCCTCCTTCCTTCACTCCCTCTTTCCTTCCTTCCCTTTTTCTTTCCTTCTCTCCTTCCTTCCTTCTTTACCTTTCCTTCCTTCCCCCCTTTTTCTTTATCTTTTTTTCCTCTCATTTCTTCCTTCCTCTTTCCTTCCTTCCTTTGCTCCCATTTCCTTCCTTCCCTTTTTTCTTTCCTTCTCTCCTTCCTTCCTTCTCTACATCTTTCCTTCCTTCCCCTTTTTCTTTTCTTTGCTCTTTCTCTCCTTCCTTCCTTCTCTACCTCTTTCCTTCCTTCGCTCTTGCTTCCATGCTTCCTTCACTCTCCTTCTTCTTTCCCTCTTTCTTTCTTTCTCTTTCTTTCTTTCTACCCCCCTCCCTCCCTCCCTCTTCCTTCCCTTTTTTTTCTGTGTCATCATTTAGCTTTTCTTCATTTAGCTTTATTGGGTTTTTAAGTCCTTTCTGCTGTTTTGGGGGGTTTAATGAGTGATGGTCACTCGTTGATCTGTTAAGGGTATAGTGTCCAAATTTCGTGTCAATTCATCCAGTGGTTTTTGAGTTATATTAATCCCACAAACGAACATTACATTTTTATTTATATAGTATTACTAATAATATTGCAGCATAATGGTATAGTACAATATAATATATAATACTAATATTGTGCTTTGGTAATAATATAATGTATTGCATTTACATATTACTTGTAAGCCGTTCTCAGTCCCCTTCAGGGTGAGAATGGCGGCATATAAATGTCATAATATGTAAATGCAACATACAATATAATTTTGAATATTAAAATCTGAATATACAAGGGGATTAGCTGGTGCAATAGAGAGGGGAGTGGAGAGTGGAGCGAGCAGAGTTAAGGGGCTCTTTCACACAACCATATAACCCAGAATATCAAGGCAGATCATCCACAATATCTGCTTTGAACTGGATTGTGTGAGTCCACACTGCCCAATAATCCAGCTCAATGTGGATTTTATGCAGCTGTGTGGAAGGAGCCTTGGAGAGTATGAGCATAGAAAAGTGAGTTAGCTTTCATCCAAAACAACCCACTCCTCTCAGTATTTTTTATCATTACAAGTATTTATTTATTGTATCAAAAGCAAACAAAGGGTACAGTTGTAATATAATGTAACATTACAAGTGATACAAAATATATAAATATGTATTTTTGTTCTGCATAGCAAGAAATCTGTGGGGGGAAAAATCCAAAGCACAATTGTTGCTTTCATAGAAAAGTCAATATTATTGTGTGAATATATATATAAGCTGTAAGGAAATTAACATCAGGTAACAGGATATTCTTGCACCAGGGGTGAGGGGTCGGCACCAGAACTTTAGAGATGCTTAGATGGGGCATTGCAAAAAAAAAAAAAAATGATTGGAGAGCACTGGTTACCTTCCTTCCCCCTGTATGGCAGACAAGTTATGACACACTACAGTACAAAAGGAAAGTCTGAATTCTCCCTAATCACATTGTATTTGTTCCCACCTACCACCACTCCCATGAAAACGTTGACAAAGGAAGATACCTCCTCATAGGTAATGGGTTTCTCTGTGCCTTCATGCCGTTTCTGACTAATGATGACCGCAGGTGACTCCATCACAGGGGTTCCTTGGTAAGGTTTGTTCCAAAGGCTTTTTGGTTTTGCCTTCTTTATAGTGGAAAGTCATCCATTGAGTTTCCATGTTTGAGCAAGGATTCGAACCTGGTCTCCAGAGTCATAATCCAGCACTTGAACCACTATACCACTTTTGATTTTTCTAATATCACACTACTTGTTAACAAGAGCAAAGGATAGTGCTGTTTCAGAAAGGACAAGATGCTGGATTTTTTCTTTTTGATAGAGCCGCCGCAAACTAGCCTCCTGCGGGAGCAAACTGTGCCAGCACGTCCATGACGTCATGAGACTCCGCCTCTCTCTCCGCCCCTTTCTCCACCTCTTTCTCCGTGCCAGAGTGGTTTTTCCTTTGCTAGGGCAGCATTGCCAGCGTACTCTCATTGTTGACAGAATTCAACGTGCTGGCACAGTTTGCTCCCGCAGGAGGCTAGTTTGCGGCGGCTCATAGTTTCTGATTAACTTATCTAAATCAGGAAACAAATATTATGATTCACCTTATGAGATTAATTCGTTTGTGCGAATGAAGGGTTATGAACCATCTAGGATGTTAAGATCATCAGGGAAGGCCCTGCTCTCGACTCTGCGTCACAAATACGTCTGGCGGGGACGAGAGACAGGGCCTTCTCAGTGGTGGCCCCTCAATTATGGAATGCCCTTCCTAGGGACATTAGATCAGCCCCTTCCCTTTTGACCTTTGAAAAAAAGTCAAAAGCTCGCTATTCGAGCAGGCGTTGAAAAGGCAATGTAATTAGACATAGGATTATGGAACAATTGGACTATGAGATTGGATTCTGTTTTTACCTAGGAGACGAAATGATTGTTTTTACTGTTTTCATGGTTTTAATTGATGTTTTAATGTTTTAATGTTTTTATGATGTTGTTGGCATTGAATTGTTGCCTTATGAACCGCTTCAAGTTGCCTGCGGGCTGAGAGGGGCGGTATACAAATGTAGCAAATAAATAAATAAATAAATTTAAAATATTGTCCCTGAGGGGGATCCCAAGGCACTTCAAGTCAACCCTTGTTCCTTTCTTAATTTCCAGGAAATACTGTGGTGATATACTTGTTATGACAATATATATAGATTTATTTATATATTTATTTATTTACAGTAGTTGTATTCTGCCCTTCTCACCCCGAAGAGGACTTGGAGCAGATCACAGAACACATATACAGCAAAAATTCAATGCTCTTATACACTGACAGGACAGATAACTGTACATACATAGAGGTAAACATAGGCCTTCTCATCTTCAGCATCTTGGAGGCTGTGCTCAGTTCCAGCCATTTGGGGAGTGCTGTTGCTTCACTTTTCCCTGCCAAAGAACTTTGTAAACTTCCTCCTTGATTAAATTACTGGCATTTTTCTGGCATTTCCTTATGGGTGCCTTAAATACCTCCCTGCTTAAATGGTACCAATTTATCTACTCACATCGCTATTTTCGAAACTGCTAGGTAGGCAGAAGCTGAGCTAAAGGCCATAAGGTCACCTCAACCCGGGCTTTGAACTGTCAACCTTTCGGTTGGCAAGATTTACTGCAGCTGGCAATTAACCTGCTGTACAAGCCCGGCCCTGTAGATATTTATGCAGATTCACTTCTCTGTAGCAATAATACAAAAATACTATTTTACTTTGGTATGAATGAAAGGTTAATTCATATGGAAATCCTTTGAGGCCACAATAGTTCATAAATTCATAAACCAGCCCCACATTTTAGTGTTATGAGAAATAATCTGAATTTATTTAGGCTGACACAAGAGGTTTCTTTAGGTACAGGTCTTGCTTCAGGAAAAAAAATGGTATCAACTTCAAGGCTGTATATATGTGTGCAGTCTCTTCTAGTCTCAAGTGGATACTGATAGTAATGTTTTAACAAAAAAAAAAGATCTTTATTTCAGATCTCTTGCTCTATAGGCATGCTAGAAGGACCAATCTATTATCTTTAAAGCAAAATGTACTTTATCTAATATGATTTCTGAAATCATATATTTAAAGTACAGGCCAGGTCAGCATTTTTTTCAATCAGGAAGATGTACTATTCCTTTTTTTCTTCAGAAATTGACATGCCACATATCAAGGCAGGCAAAAAACAAATGTGTGTTTCGCCATGAACACCTGAAGTTTCATCTATATCTCAATAATAATAATAATAATAATAATAATAATAATAATAATAATAATAATTTTATTTGTTATCCACCACTCCTAATAGCTCTCCTTGAAGCTTCAAAAGCATGAGATTTATAGCAAACAGAAATATATAAACAAGTACTCTTTGAAAACAAATATTTCCTAAATGTTTTCCCTTGTGTTAAAAAGCAATCGTATTATGACTGGGTTTGAATACATCTCTCTGTATGTAGAATGAATGAAGCCCCCTCCCCATGTTAAAGTTCAGTATCCTAAGGCTGTTTTCTGGCATAACTAGACTCTTTTTTCCTGGCCAACCAAACAATGAATTAGCTGTATAATATAAATAAACACTAGTTTTTCAAAACCATAAGTGGGCTTCAGGGCTCTTATGTGGTTATTTTGTTTGTTTGGTTGTTTTTCAGCAGTTTTGTGGCCACTGGAGGGTGTTGCAGCAGCAAATTAGCCTTGTATCTGCACTACTTGCCCACCCTGCCCTATGTGTACAAAAGCCTATGAATTTATTCAGGTACTTGGCAGATGGTAGTTTGAGCTGTTGTAGATAATATATTAGTAGATAATAGTGAAGACCTCGAACAGTTACTGAAGAAAGTCAAGGAAGAAAGAAGTAGGGCAAGTTAATAGTGAATATTAAAAAAAGATAATAGTAACCACAGATGACTTGACAACAAAATACCACCTGGGCCGACTACTATGAACTCTCTTACATGTCATCATGTGTGTTTAGAATAGTGCTTATATCAATATTAGGCAGACTTTTACGTTAGGATTTCTTTCATTGATTTTACTGAAATCAACCAAAAGTCGTGAAAGACAAACCCATAAGTGGGAAGAGACTATAGGCTGGGAAATTGCATGGCATGAAGGGGAAATACCTTCTACCTTGGTAAGTAGAGTGTCTTGTAACTTCTTGATTTCAACCATCAGTGGCTTGAATTTTTTCTTTAAATTCCCAAGAACAAATAGGGGTGTCCTGGAATCAAATTCAAGCATATAAAGGGCCCACTGTAGTTATACTTTGCATTAATGAAAGGGAATAGTGTTAATTTTTAGCTGTTATGAACCAGGGCTATAATTGATTACTTTTGAGTGAAATTCAAGAATGGTGGGAATATTCATAGCCTGAAAAATAGGAGGCTGAGGAGGAAGGGTCGCATAACTATAGGGAGCATTCGATATCCCTACTAACGCAAATCCATTGGCTGCTAAGCTTCCGGTCTCACTTCAAAGTGCATCTGCCCCTATGAACCGGTGCAGGCTCTAAGATCTGCTGGGGAGGCCGTCCTCTTGGTTCCACCATCACAAGCGTGGTTGGTGGGGATGAGGGAGAGGGCCTTTTTGGCAGTGGCCCCCCTGCTTTGGAAGACCCTCCCGAGGGAGACCAGACAGGCCCCATAATTTATTTATTTATAATAATGTCCTCCTTCCAAAGGGACCTGAAGACCTGGCTGTTCAAACAAGCTTTTGAGGATGCCTAATCCCTAGTGTGCAACAGTCACGCAGTCCTGCACTTTATCCTGTGCCTTCTCTCCATTGTTACAGCTCTGCACTATCCTATTCCCGTGTTCTATTGTTTACAGCATGGCCTTGTTTACAGCAGTTTACCGCCATTGATTGATGAGCACAATTTTATTAAGCGTTAGTTGATGTTTATATGTGCTTACTTATTGTATTTTGTACTGTGCTTATTTTATGTTTTGTTTTGAGGCACCTTGTGCCATGTGTAAGCTGCTCCGAGTCCCTCTGGGGAGATGGTGGCGGGATACAAGAATAAAGTTATTAATGTGTTAGGAACCGTTCTATGTAGCACCTAGGTGGAAAGGCTTGCTTTGTATACTTTTCTCAAACTTACCTAGTTGCAATATCTTAATTCGCCACTTGAATGAGCTAGAGAACATTTTCTTGCATTTTGGAGTGTCACGGTAGTAATTTGTAAGGAGCAAACACATGAGCTATCTCCAGATTGTAGTAACAATAAAATTAAACCATTTGTTGTCAGAGCAGATAATGAGTTAAATAACAAGTTGCTTTTCAGAAGTAGCACTCCAAACTTTGGTTTACTGCTTGCAACTTCCTATATGAAATATGCACAGCCCTCAGAAATTTGCATTGTTTTTATGACATTGGCATATGTGTTAAAAAACTAATATTGCTGTCAGGGCTAAGATATAAACAGGGAGGTTTAGGATTTTAAAAGGAGCCATTAAATTGCAACAATGTTGTTCTTTCTTTAAAAAAAGTTTATTGCAAAATTCAGTATTTGGTAGCACTTGTAGAGTTCACTGATTACAGTACAGAGCAAACCAGCAGTCTTGTTATGATCATGTTTAGTTTTGGATTTCTTGTACACATGAACACACTCCCTCCAGGCCATGCTAATATGGCATATACAAATACAGGAAATTATGATGTAGTCAATTATATCTGTCACCATTTAGTATTGGAAACCCATAAAAATACAGTAGAACCTCGTTAATCTGCAGGACAACTAGCTTTTGCCACATACAACTAATAGGTTCCTTGCCATGTCAACTTGACAGTTCTAATAGCATAAGGACCACATTGAGGCCTTGCATTACTCAAGACTTAATTAATATTACATTTACCATTATACAGCATTCTTCCTGCTTTTCTAGAAGTACAGCAGTGAACAAGAGATAAGGAACACTTGCTAAATAAATAAATAAATAACACAATTTTATGGACTCAAGCCTTGTTTTGTTCATTTACTCACTAGTTCAGGAACAGAAAAGTTAACTACTGCCTTATAAAGAGTGCCACGTCTGCTGCAATTTATCGAGGTTCTGCTCTACATGATAAAGTGCTGAAGGTATACCAAGGACATTAAAACTGCAACATGATTTCCATAGTTTTCAGGCAATGAGCACGGGTTGATTTGCTAAAGCCACCTTGATGTGAAAACACTGTTTCATGCATTTTGGACATTATTAATACTTTGAACAGAACTGAATTAGACAAAGCATACTTTGAAATAAGATCTCACCCTTGTGTTTTGTTGTAAAAGATACTTATTTTGAAACATGCTCTTTTGAAAATCACCCCAACAACTTTGGGTCTTCATCCCAAATTGTATTATTATTGCAGGGTTTTCAAATTCAGGATTCAAGTCCTGTCCCCCGTCCTAGATTCTTGCTCATTTCTGTGCCTGATCATACATGCATATCTTAGTAGAGCAATCATTATACATTGCTGCCCCCATAAAAATATGGAGGAATGTTTGAACCTGTACAGTGTGTCTTAAGAACCAAAACAGACCATTTTGTTGTATTATTGTGTTCCCCCTGAGTTGATGAAAAGATGCGTAAAAGTGGGGCAAGCAGGCTTGTGTCACCTTTAATAGCTATCAGTTAGGAGTGACCGAATAGGTAACATGTTTCTATATTTTAGAATTCCCTTTCTTTACACACAATTGACTGCAAATGGGAGAAAAATCCAGCCCTCAGAATCCACCAGCAGTTTTCTCATCTAAGGTCTGTGCTACTACATTTAATATCCATCCAAGGTTATAGTGTTAAAATATTTGGACCAGTTATTGATGCCTGTGGCAGTTGTAACATATTCTTGTTATAATGTAAACTTCCATACTTGCATACTTTTTTTTTCTTTACTGCACTATGGTCCCAGCAAGGTTGGGTTTTTCAAACTATACCTAGCGAGTGTAAAATTTACAAGTACCTAAGGTCTCAAAACATGATTGACACATTTGACTCATATGCCATCACTGGGAATTGCATGGAGCTAGTGATTGAAGAATCTGTTTATATATACTTTGACCAGCCATGTGATTATTACTTTACAGTAAATCGCTGTTGTGAACATGCACAACACCATACCTAATATACTTCAAGCATTTTACAGGTTCAAGAAGGAACCCCCCGGTGGTACAATGGGTTAAACCAGTGGTTCTCAACCTGTGGGTCCCCAGGTGTTTTGGCCTACAACTCCCAGAAATCCCAGTCAGTTTACCAGCTGTTAGGATTTCTGGGAGTTGAAGGCCAAAACATCTGGGGATCCACAGGTTGAGAACCACTGGGTTAAACCCTTGTGCCGGCAGGACTGCTGGCTGAAAGATTGGCGGTTTGAATTTGGGAAGCAGGGTGAGCTCCTGTCTGTCAGCTCCAGCTTCCCATGTGGGAACATGAGAGAAGCCTTCCACAGGATGGTAAAACACCCGAGCGTCCCATGGGCAATGTCCTTGCAGACAGCCAATTCTCTTACACCAGAAGCGACTTGCAGTTTCTCAAGTCACTCCTGACATGAAAAAAACTGGTTCAAGACCCTGCCTTCAGTGCATTACCATGTGAAACAATACTTCTGGTGATTTGGGGATTGTACTCCAAAACGGCATGGGTGAGCTTCATTTCCATAAGATATTGGCTTGAATCCTAAAATGCCAGTACAACACCAATGTTGCCAACGTGTTTTTCTAGGATGTTGCAGAAAGAGGTATTTGTACTTCCTTATGCAACATAGCATGGTACTCTTGTGGAACAGCAATGATTGGGGAGAGCTTACAGGTATAGCTAAATCACACCAGCCATTGATAGGCTGCATAGGTGTACCCAGTTGTATTACTGCTGTCCTTGAGGTGTGCAAAGGCAGCTGTTCAGTGGCTGGGGGATGCAGTGCAGCCTGCAAGTCCCCTCCTGTAATTATGCATTTGGGGAGGATGTATGGAAGAAAAATCAGCCTCAATTCTTGGTGTGAAGCACACCAAGAAGTTTACTGCATTTTAGCCCATAGCCTGCCTTTCCAACTCTCTTTAATAGAAAAAGATCATGAGTATAGCTACTAACATTAAAAAAACCTAGAAAACATTAACAAAATAACACACCGACGAGGCCGGCAAAGAGCTGTTTTTTTAAAAAAAAATCTTCTACAAGGCAGACTCCAATACTTTTAAAATAACAATAAATACTAGTTTTAAATTAAAACAGGATACAATCTTGTTTTTCTAACAGCCAAACGGGGAGTAAAAGTCTTCCAACAGTTTGAACCTGCTCAGAAGCAACTCTTGATCTGTTCAGTGAGACTCAGTTCCAAGGTAAGGACACCAGCTTGCAATCCTAAGATTGCAATTACCATGTTGCCTTGGATTGAAGTCCTATTTAAAGTAATCAGGCTTACAATGTCATGGATAAGCAAGCACAGAATTGAGCTGTTAAGAATTCAAACCTGGGAGTGAAATATAATTTTCTCAAGAAATACCTGAAATAGGAACTGGCCATAAAACAGAAGTGGTAGCTTCCTACTTCCCAGCATTTATGAAATTCAAGCATGTTTAAAAAAAACCAAAGTCCTCTGTTAATCCTCTAGGTCAGTGGTTCTCAACCTGGGGTCCCCAGATGTTTTTGGCCTACAACTCCCAGAAATCCCAGCCAGTTTACCAGCTGTTGGGATTTCTGGGAGTTGAAGGCCAAAAACATTTGGGGACCCCAGGTTGAGAACCACTGCTCTAGGTTAAGGTACACACAGACCCTGTGGCTTTCCAGATGTTGTTGGGCTCCATCTCTCACCCATCCTTAGCCATTTGCTAAGGGAAGAGGGAAACCAACATCTGAAGAGTTACAGATTCACCAACCCTGTTCTCAGTATACTATCTAACCCAATCCCCCTTCCCCTGAAAATACTAACTACAAAAATCCTTTTGCTTTGATATAAAAACTAAAAAATACTGAAGTTCAGAATGTTTTACCAAATCAACTCTCTTGTGCCACCATTCTTTTCTTGCTAATTAACATTTTAGCGCTTCTTGGTATGAGAGATTAGCAGATAATAAACAATGACCCACATTATATTTTCTTTCACCGTCATTATTTCGTCCCCATGGTTTTTGAATTGGTAATTTTAGATGTGGCCTGTGACTCCTTGGGAATATGAGAATTTGAACCGCAATGTCATGCTGTGTAGGAGCGTGCGAACAAATTTTAACATTCCATGTTTACAAAAAAAAAAAAAAATCTGAACACTGTTCACATTATTTTTTTGCTTTTGCATTCCCTTTAAAAATGTGGTTTTTAGAAGGTGGACTGGAGCTGACTTACTTTTGCCAAAATCTTGAACTATATATATTTTGAAAATTCAAGCCATACTCTCACAACCTCTTACAGACTCCTCATTTTTCCCAAGATCGGGTTCTATAAAATCATCTGGTACTTCCTGCAAAGTCTTTGTCTCTTTCTCTTGCATTGGTTGCTTCTTACTTTGACACTTCTTGCAAGGTGTCACCAAAGAAAGAAACACCGCAGCCAGCAGCATGCCAGCAGCACAGGAATAGAATGCAGAGCTGTAATTCTTCGTAGTATCCACTAGCATACCTGGGTAGAGAGAGAGATGGAGAGGAGACACATTAAACACATTAACAACTCCAGTTTATACCACTGCATTATAAGAGCTGTGGTGGCGCAATGGGTTAAACCCTTGTGCTGGCTGAACTGCTGACCTGAAGGTCGGTGGTTCAAATCCATGAAACAGGATGAGCTCCCATCTGTGAGCTCCAGCTTCCCATGCGGGGACATGAGAGAAGCCTCCTACAGGATGGTAACACATCCAGGCGTATCCTGGGCAGCATCTCTGCAAATGGCCAATACTCTCACACCAGAAGCAACTTGCAATTTCTCAAATCACTTCTGACACAATAAAATAATACCATTGCATTTAGCATGTCTTTGTACATTGTACCTAAAAAGATTGGACCTTTCAGAGCTATTTATAGAACATCAAGATGATCTTTCTCAAGTTCAAAAAGCAGTTTGGGGATTTCGTTTAAAAATGGTTTAAAGGAAAACAGTGCAGGAAGGTACTGAGAAAAAAAAACCCAATATAATGAATTGTAGCATGTATGTAAATAAGCAGTTTGGGAGCTGGGAGGTTCCTGCAGAAGTAGTTTCTGAGGGGGAAGACTTGTATAAACATGTGTACACTCCACCCTTTTGGCTTGTAACTAAATTTCCCTTATTTAGAAGGTGAGCTCACTAATTTACTGAAAATGATGTCCCATTGACTTCAGTGAAATGTACTTCCAAGTACATTTGGCCTTCAGCCCAATCGTCTTGTGAACTCAAGCTTGTAAACAGTTTTAGGAATGTTGTTGGAAGTTGTTTTGAAAGTTGCAGTTATTAAACAAATCTGCACTGTGCTGCATGGAAGTGCAATTTTCAGTTGATTTTCCCCAGCAATACAATGAAAAAAAATCATATTTTTTTTTTTGCATTGATCAACCAACCATTGGGCTGTATGTTTTGTATGTTACAGTAGGAGTAATATACTAAATCTGCAGAACAAAACTTTTCAGCGCATCAGGCAAGTTTCCTTAAGCAACAAAAATTGCTAGGGAAGTGTATCCATGGCTATGATGTTCTCTGGTTGACCACAAGACAAGTCATCCACTCATGGCCTAACCTACTGATGTAGCCCTAAGTCATTTCACAGAACATCAGGCTTTCTCTGGTATTTATTTGAGTTGTCTGTCATTTTACTTCACCACTGTATATAATGGGACTTAAGAAGTCATGGATTTTGGAATCTAAAGATGGTTTTAGAATCAGACTCCAGTAGATAGCAAGGCTACATGTTTGAATGTGTGGTTTTGGAAATATTAGGCCTGTTTGGGTTCCACATTAGATGAAAAGCAGAATAAATCAAATAAATGTTCTGTAGGATCTTCTCTGTCCTGGAGTATTCTGAGATTGCCCATCGCCTAGCTCTAGCTTTTTGCAGGGATACACCAACTTCCCACTGCTGTTTCTCTGTGCACCTGCCTATTTATGGTGATCTTAATTCAACCTTTTCATTTTGAAAACACTGGTTCCATTCCCTAACACTCTGTAAGTAGATAAAAGTAAAGGTAGTCCCCTGACATTAAGTCCAGTCATGTCTGACTCTGGGGTGTGGTGCTAATCTCCATTTCTAAGCCGAAGAGCCGGCGTTGTCCATAGACACCTCCAAGGTCATGTGGCCGGCATGACTGCATGGAGCGCCGTTACCTTCCCGCCGGAGCGGTGCCTATTGGCATGTTTTCGAACTGCTAGGTTGGCAGAAGCTAGGGCAGATAGCAGAAGCTCACGCTGCTCCCTGGAATCGGACCTGTGACCTTTCAGTCACCAAGCTCAGCAGCTCAGCGCTTTAACCCACTGCGCCACCGGAGGCTCCTCTCTGTTAGTAACCACTACTAAACACAATGCAGAACATTTGGATGATTTCTGTTACACTACTCATTTTTACCTGCAAGGGGTGGTCCAGCCAACCCTGATAAACTTTGAATAAATACGTAAACTCCTGCGGCAGACGACATCCGCTCAATGCCAACCACGTCATCTTCTGCCAGCATAGGAATGTGCGTGCCTGCTACAGTCCCAAGCATAAAACCAAAGAAAATGCTACACATCATGAGTCCCCAAAATTCATAAGCTAGAGGGAAGGCAAAGAGGGCGACGTCCAGCAGAATGACAGAGATTAGTTCAATGTATATTTTCCGGATGGGTTTTTTGTTGAGGACCCAGCCAGCACTGATTCTGCCAAAGACCTCAGCAATCGCCATCGCTGACAGGATGTATGCCGCGGAGTCCTTGTTGATGCCAAGGCTTATGCTGAGAGGAATGATGTATAGGGAAGGGGCAAAGAATCCCAGAGTTGCAAATAAACCAAAAAGTGCATAACAAATAAAGCCATAGTCTTTCAATATGGAGAAGTCTAGCAGTTGGATTTTTGGTTCCTTGGTTGGAATGCTACTAGATTCTGTAAGCATCTCAGTGTTTTCCTTTGGTTCGTCTTCACTTTTCAGTTTCAATTTGGCATCTTCAGACATGTTGCGAGGTGAGGTAGTTACTTCTACTCCTGAGTCAATAGAATCTATAGAGGTGCGGGTCTGTTCGTTTTCAAGCATGTACTTTGTCTCTCTTTGCTCTTCCGCAGGGGAGACTTTCACTACTTCCTGGGCTTTGATTATGATGGGCCGTAGCAGCGCCCCACAAGCCACGATCCCAAGCTGCAGTAGACCAACAAACAAGAGGCTGTGTCTCCAACCAATGTGTTCCTTCAAAGCAGTGATAGCTACAGAATAAGGGAGAAATGAAATATTATTGTAGCAGGCGGCTTTAGTTGATAATGCTACATAAAAGCACACTTTGTGGGATCCAACCCTGCTTCAAAAATTACAAGCTTTCTGCACCCCTGGCAGAGACCCAAGACAGAAGAGCATATAGGATAATGTAGGTTTCATGCATTAGGACCGCTTCTTTACTTAAGTAAGTGTATCTCCTTTGCACAGTATGCTGACTGTATACTGTGTAGAAAGACAAGGACATGAGAGTAGAAGATACCAGCCCAAGTTAGATACTGTGTGCCTGGCATGTAGAGCAGAAATCCAATGTGGATTCTTTTCAGTCCCTAGCAACATGAAGACAACAATTTTGGAAGCAGGTGGGGGGGGGGGGGGGGGGGGGGGGGGGGGGGTGGTGGAAGAATGATATCTTCAGTCATAATAGGATAAGTTAAATGATCAAAAGCAGGGGTCCTCAAACTTTTTAAAGATGACCAGGTCACAGTCTGTCAAACTGTTGGAGGGCCGGATTATAATTTGAAAAAAGCATGAATGAATTCCTATGCACACTGCACGTATCTTATTTGTAGTGCAAAAAAAAAAACAACTTAAAAACAATACAATAATTAAAATGAACAATTTTAAGAATATACGCTTATTCGTGTTTCAATGGGAAGTGTGGGTCTGCTTTTGGCTGACATAGGATTGTTGTTGTGTGCTTTCAAGTAGTCTCAGACTTAGGTTGACCCTGAGCGAGGGCCGGGTAAATGACCTTGGGGGGCCATATCCGGCCTTAGTTTGAGGACCCCTGATCAAAAGCAACAAAGTACTAAAGACATGCTCCCTCTTCTGTAATACAGGCAAGAGTGATGGGTTTTACAGACAGAGGATCTTCCACTTTGGAAAAGTACTAGGGGGAAAGTACATTTCATCTTGACACCTTCATGTAAGCTGAGTGGAATTCATCCCTCCAAGACTCCAGGTTTTGGGTTTCATAAGAGATTAAATGGCTTGTATACTAAAATAGCCTATTAGCCTTTCCAACTGGGGTACATTTAGCTTGGGAAATCTATACTGGGATCCCACTGGATTGTGTCTAAGAATAACACGTTCTGCAAAGGAAAATAATGTCAGGTTGAAATTCCCATGTTGTCTCAATTTACACAACCAGTAGTGGGATGTATGGGTTTGGAATATACTTCTTAACAAAAGTATCACTTTTTGCAATATCTCTTCTGTATGGCAATTAGGGGATTGTACAAAGACTTGAATTTCCTGCCTCCTTCAAGTTGTATTAGATTTAGCCCTCCACCCCACCATTGTATTTTCCAGGCAGTAGGCGTTCTTGGGTTTTATTCTAAACAAAAGAGGAACTGGCTACTTGGAAAGGAGTGATGGATTGACAGATGGCTCTAACAAAATAGTGTTCATTGTGAAGGCTTGATGGAATATCTTTTAGCCCTATTTTATGAAACGATTTAGGGCTTTTTGGTGAAGGCAACAGAAAAATATTTTCTACATCCAATTATGCAAAGAAATATAATCTGTGCTTTGGTTGAGACATCAGATTCCTGCATTAAGGGCAGAGATATTTTGGTTCGATAAAAGATTTATTTATAAATGTTTTGTAACACAATGTATGCTTTTAAGTCTTGGCAGGAAGATTTGGGGTTGGAATTTGGTAGACTTGACTTCAGACTTTCTTACTATGGTTTGGTCCCTTACATACTGCAGAGTTCAAATTCATCTGACTCTAGGCCAGTGGTTCTTAACCTGTGGGTCCCCAAGTGTTTTGGCCTACAACTCCCAGAAATCCCAGCCAGTTTACCAGCAGTTAGGATTTCTGGGAGTTGAAGGCCAAAACATCTGGAGATTCACAGGTTGAGAACACCGCTCTAGGCAAATGCTTTAGCAAGGTGCAAGTGACCTATAGAGGTGCTGTAATCTGTAGACATGGGCTTTGTGTTTGAGAATCAGTTGGCCCAGTTGAGACTAGACCAGTTTCAGTCGTGTCTACCCCAGAGTTGATGTCAAATCAGATTTTATTCAAAACTTTGTAGGGGAGAAAAATGATGTGATCTCTTCTAGTTATAGTATAGTCAAAGCTATGAATAGGATATCTCTGATCTACAGGCCTGATGTGTCTTATCATGGTGGCAGAGTGAGATGATCCCTTTTCATTTACCAGCTTCTCTGCGCTGCTGTGCTCTTCCTGAGTCAGTAAAGTCTATCTGTGATTAGACACAAGAGAGTCTTCCTACTTTTTGCCCTTTAACTTCTAAATTTTCACATCAGTTCTCAGTGAGGTGCAATGTGGAGTTCACTTTAGAGCAGTGGTTCCCAACCTTTGGGCCAGTGATTCAGATCCGTGAGATGGGGTGAGCTCCCATCTGTCAGCTCCAGCTTCCCATGCAGGGACATGGGAGAAGTCTCCCACAGGATGGTAACACATCCAGGCATCCCTTGGGCAATGTCTCTGCAGACAACCAATTCTCTCACACCAGAAGCGACTTGCAGTTTCCCAAGTGGCTTCTGACGTGATAAAGAAGTTCAACTGGGTAATTATAACACTGGAAAGTTTTGGGATATATCTTATTGTCCTTTCCTTTTCTTTGTTTTTTGTTGAATCTTATAGAGCAGAGTTTCTCAAACTGTGTTCCTTCAGATGTTTTGGACTTCAGCTCCCATAGTTCCTAACAATTGGTAGGCTGGCTGGGATTTCTGGTAGATAAAGTCTAAAACACCTGGAGGCCCAAAGGTTGGGAACCACTGCTTTAGAGAAAGGGATTGCTGCTGTTTCCAATACTGTGAGCCATCCTTGATAGAATTACTCCTTATGCTGCAATCAACCTTTTAAAAACAACAACAACAAAACCCTCTATTAGAGTTAGGAGAGGATTTTTAAAAGCCTAATTACAGGGTAAGAGAAATGCTGGGAATGAGGGGGTTAGTTCCCTTAGAAAATCTTACCTTATTTGAACCCACACTATCTACTGAGAGAGGAGTATTTTGAAGCAGAAAAGTGTGTGTTTAGGAAGAACCATACAATCATGTTGGGGAGTTGCACATCAATGGTGGGTTGCTTCCCACCATTAACTTAAAGTTCCTGTCATGCTTATTCAAGGTTAATTTAGGCCTCAGGTTGAACAAGGTTCCCTACTCTGGTCCAGGTGACCATGTGCAAAAATTAAAACTAGGATATCTGCTTCAGTACCTGGTGCAAAGGAGAAGACGGCAAAGCATTCTCCTGTGGAAGCCACTGCTGTAACTAGTGAGCGCTTTTTCTCAAAGTACTGTGACAGGATGGTGACAGTTGGGAGAAAGGTAAGGCAGTATCCTAGTCCTGTGAATAAATACCAAACAAATGCCATTAGGATAAGAAAAATAAAAAAAAATGCTGATACTGGACTACAGTTTTGCCTCCTCGTTTGATTTTTTTTTTTACTGAGCATCCACCTATAGAAAGTTTAGCAACCTACAATTAACAGTATATGTAATTGTTCCATTTCTTTGAATACATTGTGACAGATTTCTTGCGATATATGCTCTGTCAGATAGTACAAGGCTTGTAAATTTAATTCATGTTAAGAACAACTAAGGTCATTTAGCAAAGCCAGATACTCCCAAAAACTCAAGACATCTATTAAATTCTTGGCCTGCTTCTAAGCCATAATATAAATATGATGCAAAATTAAGCTACATGGCAGCTTCACTCACCTGAGACTATGCCAATGGAGATGTACATTTCAGTAACGGTGCGTGCAAAGGAGCCCACAACCATCCCAGTGCTGATTAGCAACCCTCCAATCATCACCACCAAACGATGACCAAAACGATTAGATAGTATTGTAGAGAGCGGAGCTGCAAAAGAGAGAAAGGTGTGTTTTTCCCACTATGCCTCTCCTAAAATGTCAACAGTAAGTGCCAGTTGATGATGCCAAAAGAAGCTGTGCTGGGGTTTGTTATATAATGCTGCGCTTGCATATTAGTGTAAGAAAAATATAACTTGGATCGATGCTCTTAAGAACTTGCAAGTTTTGTCAGCTCCCTTGAGTGGAGCTATAAGGATATATATATTTTTAAAAAAGCATCATTGGAGTGCTCCTGGAATTATCCCTATCCCTCCCCAAATCCCATGTACAAAACAACACATAATGTGGTGTAATGTGCAGCATAATGTGTTGCAGGAATGCAGAACAGATAGCCTCCTCTATTTGCTTAATTCTTTATCATTGAAATATAGCGGATAGAGGACTCCAAAGACAGTTTCATCTATTTTAGTAAACTGAAATAAACCACCAAACAGAGCAGCTGCTGCTACGCATACACACACTCTTTCAGGAATGAACATTATCCAAGAAGCCTATCTAATGTGATTTAATTGAGTCTGGAAACAACTGGGAGATGGAAACAAGCTCGCTTTGTTCTGGAGTCATCATCCAGAGTTTTCTTTCCTTAAAGAAGAGCTGGTTTGATTGAGTTGACTTTGAGATAAATGCTAAAGGGATAAAGAATTAAATGGGAAGAATTTCTTCAGTCCCATACACACCAAAACCAACCACTCTGCTCTTCTGCGCCTCCCGTGCACCACAACAAAACTAGTACAGGTCTCAAATTCCTTGTTCATTTGCTTTTTCCTATAATTTTTCTTGTCCTTACAGTATTTGTAAATCCATGAGAGCATCTCCTTCCTTTGTGTGAGACAGCAATATAATTTATCAAAGAGTTGGATTCTTGTAAGTTTGCAATGCTTAAAGGTAAATGTTTCCCCTTGACATTAAGTCTAGTTGTGTCCGACTTTGGGGGTTGGTGCTCATCTCTACTTCTAAGCCGAAGAGCCAGCATTGTCCATAGACACCTCCAAGGCCATGTGGCCAGCATGTATGGAGTGCTGTTACCTTCCCAGCTAAGCGGTACCTATTGATCTAATCACATTTGCCTGTTTTCGAACTGCTAGGTTGGCAGAAGCTGGGGCTAACAATGGGAGCTCACCCTGCTCCTCCGATTCAAACCACCAACCTTTCAGTCAGCAAGTTCAGTAGCTCAGTGGTTTAACCCAGTGCACCACTGCGACTCCTTTGCTATGCTTAATTTTCCCTTAAATTGCAGTGCCACCCATATAAGGAGGCAGTGAAATCATCATAGGTGATTTCCATCTATATTTGCTGATTTAAGTTTCTGGTATTTGTAAAGGATGCGCACACAGACAAAACCAACAGCCCTAGAAGCTGAATATGTAAAACAAGAGACATTAAAGCCCATCAAATTAATGGATTTAACCATCTTTAACGTAATATGACCAGGTTCTTAAAGAGTCTATTGTTTAAGATCTATGGTACAATTACCTGTAAATGTTAGTACGAACACACATATTGAGATTATCCATGATATCCTGCTGTTGCTTTCGTCAAAACTTTCCATTAAGTCCGTAAAGAAGACTCCGAAAGACTTGATGATTCCGTACGTCAGGGCCTCCACAAAGAAGAAAGCAAAAGCCACAACCCAGCCCCATCCTCCATCAGGCACTTTAGTATAAACACTTGGAGCGATGCACGACATTCTTGTTGCTTTGACAGTCATTTTTGCTCTGTAACAGAAGAGAAGAACTGGAGATCAGGACACCCTGCCAAACCATGCCATAAGCCTGTATCCTTTCATCTGGTTGCTGCTTCAAAACAAAATACAGTATCCCAACAGGAGTTTGTCCTCTTCTGATCAGATTGGACTAGTTGAATTAGGAACCAGAAAATGTACTTATTCATAAGGACCAGCTGTTTCCATTTAAGAACAAGCAATTAAGTCATCTGACTCAAAATACAGTGCAGGAGAGACAATGTTATAAAAACCCATGACAAGCGCAAAAGCTATGTGAAATTTCACCAGCAGCAACAAGATGATCCTAAACTTGCAATTCTGGGTTGTGTTTACAGCTGGATAACATCTAGCTCTGTTGCAGCATAAACCGGTCAGTTTCAGAAGTCCTGTATTGTGTTCTGCATATCAGGAAAGTTTTGTGAACTATCATCAGGATGATTTCTCATGTTCCTGTTTTACAATATTTTGTACAGCCAGAGTGCTTGCATTGACTGTCACTATCCAAGGTTCTTGATCAGGCACTTTGATTGAACTACTTACTGTTGTTGTAATAATAATAATAATAATAATAATAATAATAATAATCTTTATTTATACCCCGCCACCATCTCCCCAATGGGGACTCAGAGCGGCTTACATGGGGCCAAGCCCAGACAACATATTACAAAAAATTTACTGTTCTTAGTTTACTGTTTTTAGTCTAAATTATACATCATATTAAACATGCATGGAGTGGGATCTTTGTGCCAAATCTATACAATGTTCCATGTTTTTTTGACATCCAATTCATAACACTATGCAACAAAATTTGTTTATGGTTTGAAAGTGTTATTCTTTTTTAATTGTGTAGCACTTATTTTGAAAGTAGTTGTTCTACTCCAGAAACCTTGTTTTTGTGGCTGCCACAAACTATGTTGAACTGGTTGAGATTCTAGGAGATATTACTGTATATACTCAAGTATAAGCCTAGTTTGTCAGCCCCTTTTTTTAGCTTGAAAAAGCTCGCCTCAGCTTATATTCAAGTCAAGCTTATTTCTTATTTTGATGTGTTATTAGTATAATTTTATTACATTTGTTATTTTACTTTCTTTACTTTTATTGGAAGGATACATAAGCACATTTACATTGAAGAAGGTTAAAATAATGGTTTAATCAGAGTTGGACAGTCTTAATTACAGTTTTATGCAAATATTCAAGAACATTTAACCTGTTGCTATCTAATTACCACTTACTGATGCCTCAATTAATGTAATTTTATTGGTATCTATTTTTATTCTGAAATTTACCATTAGCTGCTGCATTTCCCACCCTCGGTTTATACTTGAGTCACTATGTTTCCCCAGTTTTTGTGGTAAAATTAGGTGCCTCAGCTTATGTTCAGGTTGGCTTATACTCGAGTATATATGGTAATTGGAAAACGATAGCAAAATTTGCTGCAGATGTCCCACAAAAACAAAGTTTTTTGCAGTTTAATAAACCTTTTCCATGCTTTTGTGATGGAACCAATTAAGAAATGGCATGTATAACCCAGGAACAAAAATCGTGTTACATAGTGTAATATGTTCTAAACTAAAGCAGCAAATGTGACCTCTTCTTAGGTAATTTAATGCATTTGAAGAGTTCAAATCAAATCATTTATTTCGGTCATAGACCAGCACAGGAAATAGAAATCAAATTTTCATTTGAAGAGTTGTATTTGGTCAGTATCTTCCAAAGCAGTGAATCAGCTATGATGCATCTTAAACGAACAAAAGCCCAAATGGTATCAGCACAGTGTATTTTCATAATGTGCATTCTTTTTCAAATATAGTTAGTGCCTTGGAAAAGAGTGAATGAAAGTAGTCCAGTGAACTTCAGGGTATTTGAATTGGGTATTTACCTTTCCTTTCCTTAAGAGCAGAGGCCCTCTAGTGCTGTGCAGTAGCAAGCACCCTTGTTAGCCCAATTAATCCATCAAAAGTAAACACATAATTAAATAAATATGTTTAGCCATCGGTTTTAACTGTTAAAGAGTTTTTAGGAGGAATAAACACCTGGATATTATCATAGTAATAGTTTTGATAAAATTCCTGATTAAAAATTATGTAAATTTAACTTTTTATACTGGAACAGAATAACTTACACTTGGTGTGTGAAACATATTATTCATAAAGAGCATTTCATTGTTAAGTTGTGGGCAGCATACAGAGTGACATACATGATACATACATGTGCCCAAGATATATGCTCACTGAAATCAGTGTACTCCTAAATAAGCCTCAAAATCCAGCTGTAATAAATTAAGCCTGTTTAATTTATTACAGTTGGATTTTGAGGCTTATCTAGCAGAGTAATAATGAAATATCTAGACAAAATAATATTTAGGGGTTGTTCTAAAAAGAGTAGGCGCATTAAAAGATGTGATGTGGCATATCTTAAGATATCTCTCTGCTGTTATCTGTTAGCAGCATTCATGGATGTGCAGAATTACTCTTTGAAATGGATTCCTGCATGACAGAAAAAGATTTCTGTCACGTTTCCTGAGACAGAGTGGAGGAGGCAGTCCCTTTGAACTTGGTGCCCAGGCACCTTATTAGATGCTGACTCTGCCCATTCATGAAATGCATCTGTACTTCAGGGTAATGCTGTCTTAAAAGACCTTTGCATTTAAAAAGTAGTGCACATGCATTTCAAATTTAAAGGACGGGGGAAGACTGTGTGCATTGGCTCACAACAGCCATTGCTATCAGAAGTCTGCAATGCGCAGGTGCTTATGAAACCACAAGACCGGACAATCTCAAATGTAGAGGGATCCCAATAGGTGCCTAGTATAGAACAAGCTTTAAAATGAATGTCTGCAAGCTTTCAAACAAATAGGTTGAAATTATCCCCCCATCTGATTGTTTTGAATGCTCAGTGGGCAGAAGGAGAGTGCCTTCACAGTCTGCTCTCCTGCCATGCGGCTTTTGCGTTACACTTTGGCCACACAGCAGAAAGTCTAGGGCAAAAGCCTGTGCGGCTGGGCTGATCCAGTCTTGGGCAAATCTTCAGCTGCGCAGGACAGCTCCCTTGAACTGGTTTGATCCGCAAAATATTAAGCAGGATCCTAGATGCTAGGGCTCCTTCAAAACAGGGGGTCCCCAAAGTTTCCATACATAGGAAAAATGAACAAACTCATATATTTATGTAACTCATATGAAATATTATATATATATATATATATATGCACACATATATACTGTATGTATATATATAGACACACACACACTCATATACACACATATAATGAGAGTAATTTTGTAATGAATATTTTCCGTATAAAGGTACGTTTAGCTAAAATTTCCCCTATGTATGGTGACTTTTTGAGATAACCCCCATTCCAGGAAAAAAAAACCCTTTGGATGTCTAATACCCTTCCACACAGCCGAATAAAATCCCACATTATCTGAACTGGGATATATGGCAGTGTGGACTCAGATATCCCAGTTCAAAGCAGATATTGTCGGATTTTTTGCCTTGATATTCTGTGTTATATGGCTGTGTGGAAGGACCCTAAGCAACCTCTTCTATTCATTGGGCTATTTCCTTACTTGCAGGTGTTGGCTCTAAAATCCCTATGTAGTCCTGCCTGCTGTGGATTTCTAGACTTCAGAGTATATTCTGGGTTATTGGCACTGAGCCCTGCTCAAATGAGAAGGTGACCAAAGGGAGAATCCTCCAAAAGGCAAAGAGACTCCTCTTTTTGTTTACTGATTGGCCAGAGTTATATCATAAATGGGACCCCTAGATGTCATCTTTGATTCACATCCTCTAAGAGCCCTTCAACATAGCCATATAACACAGAATATTAAGAAAGATAATTCACAATATCTGCACTGAACTGGATTATTGGAGTCCACACTGCCATATAATCCAGTTCAAAGTGGATTTTATACAGCAGTGTGAAAGGGTCTTAAAATGTTTTTGATTATCCCATTGTGGTTGTTGTTTCTCATCCGCCTTTCCTTGGGGAACAACAACAACTCACATATCCACAACATAGTAAAGGTATACAAGATTTTATTGTAGTGTATAGGTTAGGTTTCCCCTATACAACACAATATTCATGAATATTTGTAATATTTATAAATGTAAAGGTTTCCCCTGACATTAAGTCCAGTCATGTCCAACTCTGGGGGTTGGTGCTCATCTCCATTTCTAAGCCGAAGAGCCGGCGTTGTCCGTAGACACCTCCTAAGTCATGTGGCCGGCATGACTGCACGAAATGCCATTACCTTCCATATATTCAAAATATTAATATTAGTTGTAACAGTACTATTGTTAAGATTCATGACAAGGGGGGGGGGGCTTCCACACAGCCATAAACCCAGAATATCAAATCCACAATATCTGCTTTGAACTGGGTTATCTGAGTCCACACTGCCATATGTTCCAGTTCAAAGCAGATAATGTGGGATTTTCTGCCTTGATGTTCTGGGATATAGGGCTGTGTGGAAGGGCTCTGAGGCCCCTTCCACACAGCTGAATAAAATCCCACATTTTCTGCTTTGATATTCTGGGTTACATGACTGTGTGGAAGGGCCCAAAGTTTGAATACTGACAGAGGCAAGTCTAGTCATAGCTGCATGACAAGTTGGTCTGTCTGACAAACTAAAAGTGGGGTTAAAAGCATATCTTGGGATGCAAATGGAGGAGGGTATCTAAAATATCTAAAACCATGACAGAGCACCAAAATTATAATTTTTTACCAGCATTGTTCTTTTTTGTTTTGATCATATATTGTCGCTTTGGTTATATATTGTCCCTCCATCACTTTGTGATCCCTCCAAGACACAGGTTGTAGAACTGGGTTACATCATTTAAACAAAAAGAAGGAACTTAGGTGAATATATAGGTAGAAATATTTGTCTAACAAAGTGTGGGCACAAGAGAAGCCAACTCGTGTCCACTTACCAGGTCAGATGAAGGTGTTGCTGCTGCTGCTGCAAAGGAGGCTCCTTCCCGCCAAAACCCCCCAGAAGCGCAGCTGATGCTTAAGACCTGGTCAGCAACATATCCCTTCCGCTTTGACAGAACAATTCTATGTATATGTCTAGTATATATAKAKAKA